CATTCGAAACGTATGGTTCTGCTTAGATTGGACGCTACTTTTCAATAGGAATGTGCTGTTTTATTCTTGACACGTCGACATCTGTACATTGAAAATTTTAAAAATATTAACCAAATATAATGTCTTTGATATCGTGTATCAGTGAAAATATTTGATCTTGCAAATAAATTGCAATTATAAAATCTCATAATTAAAATCATACATTGTGTTATCATCAAAAACATTAATTCCAAATATCAATACAAATTTGATATGTTGTTCTTTATTTAAAATATCTTAGATATGATTTTTCTAATAATTTCTTGAATATATTATAATTAAACAATTGTGTGCTTTTTACGAGCAATGTACTAAATGATATTTATAAGGAATGAATTAACTGTTTATCAAAAACTAATGACAATTTTTTCTAAGAATGAAGCTTATACAGCATGACATTACATGCTATTTATATATTTTATTTATTATATCTGCCATTGTCAAAACATTTTCTCAAGATTTGCCAAACGTTCAGGTACGTATATTTTTAAAATATTACTTAAAATAAGATAGATTTATGAATGATATGTAATAACATATGGTAGCTGTATTAATAAGAAAAAAAATATATTGTCATGTAGGAGAAACCAGTTCACTTGCCAGAAACAAAATTTAACTTTAACGAATATTCTGAATATCCAGATAATACAGATAGAAATTTAGGATCTTTGGCATCTCAATGGAATCAAATACTTTCTGTTAATCGTAATTTACAGGCACAAAATGTCAATAGTATTAACAATGAAAATTTATCTGAATCTTTAGAAACATTAGATCCAAGTAAGAATTTTCTATTGATTATATTTTGTATATAATTTTATATATTATTAAATGTATATATATATATATATATATTATTTTTTTTTATAGATATAGTATGGGATTCTAAATGGGGATCTAATTTAAAATTGGGACAAATATCTGCAGTGTCATTGGATCCTAATGGAAATATAGCGTTATTCCATAGAGGAAGACGAACTTGGGACCAAGATACGTTTAACAATGAAAATAAATTTGATCCTAATAAAGGCCCAATAAAGGAAAATACAATTTTTCTTATGGATAAAACTGGAAAAGAATTATTACAATGGGGTAAAAATATGTTTTATTTACCTCATGGATTGACGATAGATTTCAATGGAAATTATTGGATTACTGATGTTGCCTTACATCAAGTATTAAAATTCGATGCCAACGATATAGAGGCACATTGGAAAGATTTAAAAAGAGAACAATATGATAGAAAGTTAATAGAGATTGATAATCACGATCGAAATGCCTTATTTAAACACAGTATTATAAAACCATCTTTGATTCTTGGTGAGGCTTTTGAGCCTGGTAATGATGAAACACGATTTTGTAAGCCAACAGCAGTTGCTGTACAATTAAATGGAGATTTTTTTGTTAGCGATGGTTATTGTAATTCTAGAATTATTAAATTTAACAAAAAAGGTGAACGAATTTTACCATGGGGTCGTCATTGGGGAGTAAGAGGTAAACTTTTTTAACTTATATTATGAAATATTATATAATACCTTCTTAATTCTAATATCATTGAATTATATTTATATTTTTCAGAATTTGTTTATCAACAACCACCACCACATAATGCATTCTTTGTACCCCATGCATTAGCTTTGGCAAATGATCTTGATTATATTTTTGTTGCTGATAGAGAAAATGGTAGAGTTTCTTGCTTTTTTGCTAGTAATGGGACATTCCATAAAGAGTACAAACATCCTAGCATTGGTACTAAAATATACAGTGTAGCATACGCCCAAGAACAAATTTATTTAATCAATGGACCTGATTTATTTGAGAATGATCAGCATATACGTGGTTTTATCGTAGACATTAATTCTGGAAATTTATTATCACAATTTGCACCTACAGAAAGATTACGTAGACCACACGATATAGCTGTGAACAATGATGGATCAGAGATTTACATTGTAGACCTAGACACATCCAAGATATATAAATTTTTACAAAGTAAGTAGATCTTTAGTTGATATTAAAAAGATATTATTTTACTTTACTTTTATGACTTTATATCGCAGAATCAACCAGTGCTAACAAAATAGAAAATTCTACGCATACATTGAATCATCATCAAACCGCACCATTAACGGATATTAATTCTCAAGAAACGTCTAATTCAAAAACTACAATGGCAACATTAATATTGTCTCTTGTTACAACTACTGTTATTTTTATCACACTATGCGTGACTACTGCTGCTGTTATAGCGAAATGTCAAAAAAGAGGTAGATTGCATCACTATGAGGAGGCTAATGTTGAATTTACAAAATTGGTTGAATGATTATCTTATTCTTTTTTTTTTCTTTTTTTTTTTCTTTTTTTTTTCTTCTTTTTTTCAAATAATTTATATTATCACACAGTGTAGCTATATAAATATTTGCATGTCCGACCAATTTGTAAAATTGGACTTGCATGTTCTATGTAATTATTTTATTTATATGATTAATTTTTATATCTACTTAACAATCTTCCTTCCGCTTGTTCTAATTAGATTTTATAAAAAGGTCAGGTTCCTTTTGTAATACAATATATATATATATATGTGTATATATATATATATATATGTATGTATGTGTGTGTGTTTATATATATATATATATATATATATATATATATATATATATATATACATAATTACCATTAATGATATGATAAGAGAAGTTTTTATACATTCAATGTTACAATATCATCGTTTAAATGTTATGCGCACACAGTATGCATTATTAATGCAACATTCCAATGATCTAAACGTATTGCAAAAATCAATCGATTTTTAATATTATATATATATATATATATATATATATATATATATTCGTGTTACATAATAATTGATATTTAATTATAATTATTATTGGCATGTTACTTGATATCATGTATATATAATTTACGCTTCTTATATTTTATCGCCTGTATACACATTATTATTTATTTGTATTATTTATATTTTCATAAGCCGCGTCTACACACAAATATAAGATTTTATTTCTATTCAGTATTTTATGGTAAAACAATTTTTTTATTTTTTCATTTTTCTAGATAAATGTAAAACAAACTCTGTGCAAATATTATCATAGTCGTACATACAATAACTTAATTTATAAACATATCTTTCTTTCTCTCTCTCTCTTTTTTTTCTTTTTTTTTTTCTTTTTTTTTCTTTTTTTTTTTTTTTTTTTTTCTTTTATCACACAGGATGCTTGTTAATGATGCGTAAAAGAATGCATTGGCAAGCGGAAAGAAGGGAAAAGATGAAGTTTTCAAACTTACTTGAAAAACGAAGAGGCAAGGGATTTAAATTTTTCGAAAAACGGCCGAACAAACGTGACTTCAGTAAATTGAACACCGAACCAGAAACTTCCGACGACGAACGTTCTGAGAATAATTTGAATATGATGATATGAATTACTTCATGTTTATCAAATAATAACATAAAAGAAGTTACTTTTACGAGGAGAATTACTTGTGCAAAGGAAAAAAGAAAAAATTGTTAAAAAAAAAAAAGAAAAAAAAAAGTAACATCGATCGTCGAAATATTCGAACGATCTATTATCGTCACCAATTCGAACGAAAATTAATAATCAAAAATTTCTAAATGTAAAAACAAATAATCGAATTTCACGTAATTAATTCCACGTTAACGTCTATAAATTTCTTAACGATGTCAATGAGTATAAAAAATTACGACGATCGTTGGATAAATCGAAAAATTATTATTATTATTTTCGAAAAAGAAAAGAGTTGAAGCAAAAGAGAAAGAAAAAGAAAAAAAAAAAAAAAACAGGAAAAAAAAGTAGAAGAACTTACCTCATCCGCGAATCAGTCCGAGAAAAGCAAAAAAAAAGAAAAAAAAAGGTAGGTAGGTGTTCGTTCATTGAGACGCGATTTTTTTTCCATTATTTGCAATGGAATAACAAATTGATCAAAATCGATATATTTACGTATACATTTAAACATTATATTATACACATAAAGGATTTATTAAACGAAATTAATCGATTTAATAAATGTATCGTCGTGTTAATCGATCGAGTCGATTGACGAACGTGCATTTGTCAGGGTTTAAAGAACGAAGAACGATTGCTATATAAATGCATCGAACTTAATTGAAAATTAAAATACATGAAAAAATTAATAACAGACATGTTCAATGAAAATAATCTAATCGACGATATACAAGTACACAAGTACGAAATTGTTTAACGTTACAATGTGAAATTATGGTATATGATAAGGTATGATAATAAGCTTTTTTGTGTCTTTTTTTCATTCTTTTTTTTATTTTTTTTTTTTTATTTATTTTTTTTTTTTTTTATAAACGTAAAAGAAAAATGTGTGGAATCGTATTGATATAACTTAAGACATATTGTCCGAAGACAGCCAATATTATTTAAACGAAAAATGTAACGATCTATCGTATAGATTATATTTGAAATATCGATATCGTTAAGATTCGATGTGGAAAGGAATATGGCCATTTTTTTTTTTTTAATAAAAAAAAAAAAAGAAAAAAAAATCAAAACGCAATGATCGCTACGAAATGTTTAAACAAAAAAAAGAAAAAAACAAAACCAATGGCTGTTCAAACGAAGCCATTTTTCTTTCTTTTTTCTCTTATTATACGATCCTTTCTTTAAAGATATTCTTTTAACATTATTGACAAATATAAAAATGTTCACGTACGTAAATCCTCTTAAGGATTAATCCAATTAATTGTAAAGTGTTTACTATGGACAGAGAGAGAAAGAGAGAGAGAGAGAGAGAGAGAGAGAGAGAGAGAGAGAGAGATGTATTTATCGAAGAAAAAGAAAAAAGAAAGAAAAGAAAAAAAAGAAAAAAAAATTGTTCGATCTTTCAGTTTAAAAAAAAAAGAAAAAATATTTTAAATTCGAGTCGATAAAATAGCGAACTGTAGTAGATATGGTAGATAACTAATTATCGACGTTATTAACGTCGATAAAAACGACTTCTATTCGAAAGATTTTAAATAACGCGTTAAGATCGTATTAAACTCGAATGATAATGCTTCAATTCCGATGATACGATATTTCGAGAAGAAAAAGAGAAGAAAAGAAAAGAAAAGAGAGAAAGAAAAAAAACAAGTCTTAAAAAGGATATATTCGCAGGGCACTTTTTTTAAATCGTTATTTTCAATTAGATATTTCCGTAAAACGTTTCACTATTTTTATCAATGGCTACGAAATCCAAGTATCGTTATAGTCGACAATTTTTACAAGATATTATTGAAAAATCGTCATGGATTTTAATATATCCTAAGATGAAATATTTTGATATAATTTCAAATGATATTTTGCAATCGTTGAGACGAAAGATTACCGTCGAGTATTAACGTGAATTTTAAAGATAGAAAAGAGAAATAGAAGAAAAAAACAAAACGAAAAAAAAGAAAAAACAAAGAAAAAAAAAAAAGAAGATGAAGAATCTATGTCACACACAGAGATACACAATGATATATTATACAGTATTATACAGTGACATATCGTATTTAATGATGCCAATGACGATAATAGTTGTCGAATTCTCTATTGTCGTTTTTGATGACTGCTTATTTAAATGTAGCTAATACACACACACACACACATACATACATACATACATACATACATACATACATACATACAGACAGACAGACAGACAGACAGACAGACAGACAGACAGACAGACAGACATACACACAGACAGATACACGAGAATGTCGATATAAGTAATTGGCTTTTAAAACTATCAGCTACTTACTAAACGATGACTGCATTATAACTGTTAACCGCGCTTCCACAACCTCTCCATAATTGTTCCTCATGATCTATCAATATAATCTATTTAATTATTATTAAAAAAGAAAGAGGGCAAAGGAAAAAATAAAAAGAAAAATAATTATAAAAAAAAAAGAAATATATAAATATATAAGATAAATAAATCAATCAATCAATCAATCAATCAATAAAGACGTGAGAAAGGAAAAAGAGAAATTAAAAACATTGTATCAAACGAGTAAAAACTTTCTATGGGAAGAAAAAGATAGGGGAAAGAAAAAAAAAAAAAAAAAGAAGAAAGAAAGAAAAAGAAAAGAAAAGAAAAGAAAAGAAAAGAAAAAAACTTTCCATCGATAATAACGTTGAGATGAATGATCTTCTTCTACATATATAGTACCTGACGAATAATAAACTGATATCTCTTATCACTTTGCGCTCTTACATCTTAACTATTCGAAAAATACACAATAAGTTTTAATCCTTAAGAAATCGTTTCCGTATTTCCCTCTTTAACGTTGTTATACATACATACATACATACATACATACATACATACATATATATATATATATATATGTATGGTATATATATAATATATAGATATTTACAGTGCGTATTAATTTCGCACTATTTCCAATACATGCGAACAGCATCATTGTATCTCTCTATATCTCTCTCACTCATTCATTCAATCTGTGTACGCGTATTCAAATATATATTTTCAATAAAATCCCTGTGTGTATTTTTTTCTTTATTCTTTATTCTATTATTATTAATATTAATATTATTATTATTATTATTATTATTATTATTATTATTATTATTATTATTATTATTAATATTATTATTATTATTATCAATATGTATATTATTTCACAAAAAGGATATTTTTTGGTTGTATGTTGTGAACGGCAAGAGACTTCGATATTTTACTTTCTTAATGATTTATTTTTACACATTTAGTTGAGACCTCTATACACAACTATATAACGATGAAAATTAAAGTTCATCTATTTATCACTAAAAGACGATAAATGGGATCTGTGACAAAGGTGTGCGACGAAGTCAGTCCATTTTTTTATTTTTTTCTTCTTCTATTTCTTCTTCTTCCTCCTCTTCTTCTTCTTCTTCTTTTTCTTCTTCTTCTTCTTTTCTTTCGTATTCATTTTTCCTTTTTTGTTACTTCCTTTTTTTTATGCTGTTTTCTTCTTCTTCTCGTTTCTTTTTTCTCCTTCTCCTTCGCCTCTTCTTTTATTTCTTTTGACACTTCTTCCTACAAAGTACAGGATGGGCCAAAAGTTCTTCGATAATTTTCAAAAATCAATTATTCATTTTTTTTTCGAGACGTTTCAGATTAATTTTCCTTTTCTTTTTTTTTTTTCTTTTTTTTAAACTTTTTCTAATCTTCCTTTCCGTTTATTTTTTTTTTCCTTTTTTATTTTCAGATTGTAAAGCTACGAGCTTAAATGCGAAGCTTAAAAAGTCTCGATAAAAAGGAAAAAAAAAAAAAAAAATTAGTAGAGAGAGAGTAATTGACGTTTAATATAACTTGAAAACCTTTGACCCACGTCCAGTATGTCATATCTTTATTTGTAAATATCTTTTTTCTTTTTGTTTTTTTTTTGTCCTTCGTGACTCGATTAAT